ATAAATTCTAGTCAGGAACAAAGTTACTTAAAGAAAGAAACAAGAATTCTAAAATCTAGTTTTTTGGTCCATAATGATGCAAATCTCATAACACCTCACAATTTATTAAGCATTTAATAATTATAAAATTTATTTTTAAATTTAATAGTTAATAAAGTTACTTTTACTTAAATTTAAAATTATGTAATTCATTTTTAAAAGCATCCTGATATTTAGAATTATATTTGATTATCAACAATATTTTGTGAGATAAGCTAGATATTACTCTCCTCATTTAACAGATGGTAAAACTGAGACTCAGATAAACTAAGTGACTAGCCCCAAATTACAATAATCAGTGACAGAGGTGGGCTTGAACCCAGGCCATCAGAACCCAAGTTCAGTACTCTTTCCGTTCATTCAAGGCTGACAGCTGTGTAACCCAATCAGTCACTGAGAGGCAGAAACATAGAAGCAGTCACTTCCCCCTACCTATGAGGGTCTTATTCTTGAATTACCCCCAATGTAAGAGCGTTCAGCTGATGAAATTATGATTTTAAGAGGCAAAAAAAGAGTAAGGGAAGTAAGGTTACATGTGAACTTTGAAAATCCTCATATACATTTTTGCACAGTAAAACAAAACAATAACAATAGTACATTACATAAAAAGAATGAGAGTTTACATAGCTTAAATTAGTAAAAATGACAGGCTCTACATAGTTTCCATTTAGATCCTGAGATGATTTCCAGAGGTGATGAAGATGTACCACTCATTATGGCAGTGGAAAAGGGGGGTGACAGTGAAGCAATGAACAGAGGTGGACAGTTATTTCAAGTCATGACTTTCCATAGTCTCAGAGTCATCTAAGTCCAATCCTGAAATTGCAACAACTTGCTTGTGGCTTTAGCCCTATCAATCAAGCAATTTTACGTGGTACAACTTAATGACTTTGGCTCTTCTGAAGATGCTTTCTGTCTTCTCAAGTATTTTTTAAAGACACCTTAGCACTTTGGTGTAGAGTTCAAATTAAATCATTCAAGCTTTCTTGAAGTCAGATTATCAGCTTTCCAGTACTGGTATTGAAATGGTACTACTTCATGATTTAGGCTCTTCTGAGTTTGCTTTCTTTCCATTAGGGAGTTGTCAAAAGACTCTTAGAAGCACATTATAGAACTCACTTAAATCATTTAAACTTCATCTAAAGGCAGTGTATCAACTGTACAGCAATGATATTTGATGATTTAAGTCCTGCTTTTTGTCCAATGTGATAATTTTTTAACGTATCAGAGCACATCTTTATAGAATTCTGCTAAATTACTCAAGCTTTGAAGAGGTAAGGTTTAACTTGTAAAGGTATCAATTTTCCCTACTTTCTTGGGGAAGTTTTAATCTTGATCTAAAATATTTGCTTCTGTTGCTCCAGTTCCATAGACCTTAAGTATCTTCATCATTATTTATAATAATCAGCTCTGGAGTACTGGAAGTTTCCTGAAAGTCATCTTCTAGCAGCATTACATCACTTGGATTAGTGTCAACAGGTTCAGATTGAACTTTAGCCAATGACTGCTCCTGTGACAAATGTTCATCTGCACTCGTAGGTTCTTCTTTATCCATTTTTGTTTGTTTGTTTTCAGGAGGAACTGCTGAAAGATATTTTACCATATCTAACCAAATTGTCTCTCAGGTCACACTAATGATAAACCCTGTTAAACGATTTAATGCCTCTTTTATTAAGATTATAGCACAGCCTATTGGCCTGGAGGTAAATTCCTCCCAGTGACACCAATAGCAACCAAGGCTCAACTACAACAGGACAGTGCACACAGCACACACAAGGGAGCACCTAGAAGGCCCAGCTCAGGTGACTGAAGAGGATGAGCCACTGAACCCTACAGGATACCTACTAGGCAAAGCCACTCTACCAATTCCAGGACACATAGTAGCTCTACCTAATACATAGAAACAAACACCAGGAAGCAGCCAAAATGTGAAGGCAAAGAAACATGTCATGAAGGAAAGAACAGAAGAAATCTCCAGAAAAAAAAGTTAAATGAAATGGAGCTAAGCTAGCTACTAGATACAGAGTTCAAAACAATGATTTTAAGGATACTCAAGTATCTTAGTAAGACTATTAAGGAAACTAGTGAGATCACCAATGACATAATAAAGTACCAATCAGAAATGAAGGCTACACTAACTAAAATGAAGAATAATTTACAGGGAATCAACAATAGAGTAGAGGACGCTGAGAATCAAATCAGCAATTTGGAATGAGGAAGCAAAACGCACCCAACAAGAAGAGAAAAAAAAATCCAGAAATATTAAGATAGTGTAAGGAGTCTCTGAGACAACTTCAAGCAGCCCAACATTCACATTATGAGGTAAAGAAGGAGAAGAAAGAGAGCAAGAAATTGAAAACTTATTTGAAATAATAATGACAGAAAACGTCCCCTACCTGGTAAAAGAAATAGACTTGCAAGTCCAGGAAGCACAGAGAGTCCCAGACAAGAGGAACCCAAAGAGGCCCACAGCAAGACACATCATAATTAAAATGCCAAAGGTTAAAGACAAAGAGGGAACCTTAAAAGCAGCAAAAGAAAAACAGTTAGTTACCCACAAGGGAGTACCCATATGACTGCCAGCTGATTTCTCAACAGAAACTTTGCAGGCCAGAAGGGAGTGGCAAGAAATATTCAAAGTGATGAAAAGCAAGAACCTACAACCAAGATTACTCTACCCAGCAAAGCTATCATTTAGAACTGAAGGTCAGATAAAGAGCTTCACAGATAAGAAAAAGCTAAAGGAGTTCATCACCACCAAACCAGTATTACATGAAATGTTGAAAGGTCTTCTTTAAGAAGAAGCTAATGAACAAATGAAACTGACAAACAAAATAGACCCAGAGACATTGAAGCATGCAACAGAGAGTTGTATCTCAGAGGGAAGAAGGAAGGGGGTGGGGTGCAGGAAGAGTTTAACCAAAGAGGTTATATGTATATATGCATAACACATGGATACAGACAATAATAGGGTGAAGACCTGAGGAGGGGTGGGAGCTAGATGGAAAGGGTCATGGGGCGAAAATGGGACACTTGTAATACTTTCAACAATAAAGATAAATTAAAAATTAAATAAATAAAAGTGAAATTGAAAAAAACACGCAAAACTAACATTAGTGATGGTGTAGGAATCTCATGCACTAGGATCCTCAGGCAGAGAAACCTTTGTGAGATTTTGAACAACAAAGTTATGTTATTAATTTGGCATTAAGTATTCTTGAATGACTGGATCAAACACTGATCTAAGGGCTCAAAGATTTGAGACATGAGACTAGATATAAGGACAACCTTAACATTAGGATGCACATTGGCAAGTACATCTGAGGTGCCAAAAAGACTGCGAAAAATCAGGGGGACTTTGATTCAAGATTAAAAACAATAATAGTCTTGAACTTCCATAAGAAAATACTTTTCAAACAATTCCATATGGAGAGGAGTCATCTTGGTTTTTCTGTTTGCACACAAATATACTGGAAACTTGGCTGGGTGTTTTCCTCTGGGACAATTTGGGCATGGGTTCATGTAGATTAGTAATGATTTCACTATGAGGTCTCCTGAAGTAGTGGCACAAAACATAAATGTAAACCTCCCTATTTTTGCTGATCTCATGCCAGCATCATCTGGCTCCTATTCTTCAAAAAGGCAAGTAAGATTGTTTAAGGGTTTCCAAAGCATGGTGGTCTCAACAGCACCAAAGATTTTCACAGGCACATAATTCCCTTCTTCAATCGCTTTCTGTAATTGTGACAGATATAACACAGAAGCTGCAGGCTCTGGTGGTTCTTTCTTTGGCACCACTGTAACATAAAATTTGATCTCCATGTCATGGCATTCCATAAGTTTCTGAAACTATCCCTTGTTCCTAGCAGGATTTTTTTCTAGACCCACTTCAGTGTCTGAAAACATGTCTTCAAAAATTCCTCTGACATGGTCACAGATCCCTTATATGGCAAGTGTTTCCTTATTCTTTTGCTTGTCTTTAATATAGATGCTTAACATCATTTCCATGTTTTCCATCCTCACATCATAGGGGATAAAGCATCTCTTAAGTGATGTAGGTATACAAGAGACAATACTGACCTTAAAAAGAGTTTCAGCTTTCCTTGTGTTACAAATTGTGGATTCATTACCACCATGAAAGCAACCTATAAAGCCATTTAGTTTACCTTGAAGAAGTGGATCAGGAATGTTCCTTTTCTTTTCTAAAGACATCACCCTTCTTGCCCTTCTGGTAACTTTGTGTGATAACAGTGTCCCTGTACTTCATCCACTCTCTTCTGTCTCAATGGTCATATTTGTAGAAGCCATGTTTAAACTTCACACTAATTAGTGCAACCTGGCAATTACTTACTAGAGATTTTATATCCCCCAGTGTTACAAAGTGTCAGCATATGGTATTTAAGCACCAAGTGGTATTATGAACAACACAAGGATCAATGATAATATATTGTTGTGATATCCAGTGCAAATAAGGCTGATTGTGAGGGGACAACTGATAGAAGATGAGAGAGAAAACAAATGACTTGAACTGACTCCCATATACTCAGTTGAAAATTTTCACAGTTGTCAAAATGGTATACAGAAGTAAATCCACCTATAGTCCAATTTCCAATAAAGAGAACTTGCAGTTTAGAAAGGATTACTATAAATGCTCCTCTAAGTTATCAGAAGAAAGTCACTTTTTATATATTCAAGACAGTACTATTTCTATGATTTCCCTTGGCTTAACACTATGATTCAATTTTATGTGAAAGGTAAACAAAACATAAGTATATTTTCTGTAAACCACAGTACATCAATAAAACATTAACTTCTGACAAAATGCAACCTCTGAAGAAGTAGACATAAACTTCAGGCAGGCTCTAAACAGCTAACGCTCAAGAAATGACTACCCAAGAAAAAGAAGTGACAATGAAAGAATAAACTAGCCCCTTTTCAATGCCCAGCCACTGATACTTTACTTTTATCCCCTCCTCCTGGGAAGATAGACCGAAGCCTGGCTTTCTTATTCTTCTCTTCAGGGGCCATGGGAAGTGGTTTGGAGCTGTGGTTGAGTGCCGAAGAATCCCGGTTGTTACTATTCATCCTCAGTGGGGGAGCTGGGGGTTTCTCTTCATTATCCAGACTGTCAGACATTTTCAGTTACAACTAATTGCACAACTCCTAAAGGAGAAGGAGGAGAAAACAGGAGTTAAGAAAGGAGAGGTCCAAAAATCAAACTAGTAAATATGGGGATTCTAATATCTTAAAAACAAAAATATTGGTCTCATGTCATGTCAGGTTTTCCACTGACCATTTAAAAAATTTTTTTTATTTTTGTTTAAAGTATTACAGATGTCGATAATCATCAGAGAGATGCAAATTAAAACCACAATGAGGTATCACTTCACACCTGTAAGAATGGCTACCATCAACAAATCAACAAATGACATGTGCTGGCGAGGGTGTGGAGAAAGGGGAACCCTAGTACACTGCTGGTGGGAATGCAGACTGGTGCAACCACTATGGAAAACAGTATAGAGATTCCTCAAAAAATTAAAAATGGAGCTGCCATTTGACCCAGTGATTCCACTCCTAGGAATGTATCCTAAGAATCCTGAAACATTCATCAGAAAGGATATATGTACCCCGATGTTCATAGGAGCACAGTTTACAATAGCTAAGATTTGGAAACAGCCCAAGTGCCCATCAGTAGATGAGTGGATTAAAAAGCTGTGGGACATTTACACCATGGAATACTACACAGCTGTAAAGAAAAAGAATCTTGTACCCTTTGGGACAGTATGGATGGTCCTGGAGAGTATTATGCTAAGTGAAATAAGCCAGGCAGCGAAAGAAAAATATCACATGATCTCGCTTATCCACTGACCATTTTGACTTGTTTACTTTCTAGAAGAAAAGGTACTGCCTCCCTAAAGACCAGCAATGGAATTTCCCAAAGAGAAAAGTGAAGGCGATGATTAATGGCTTTTCAATATGCACATACAAAAACATTAGGTCCCTTCCTTTTCTCATGATGAAACTTTATTTTCTGCTGTACACTCAAGTATTTGAATCAACAATTTACAATCTTATTCTTTAAAAATTCTATCCTGATGATTGTCACAGTAGGGTAGCACAACCTCTTCACTATCCAGAGTTGACACAGGTTTGGCTATTGATTTTTAATGGCCTGCAATAATGATTTGTTGACTGCTTTGACATTGGTATGCCTTTGGTGTCTGATTCTTACCTGTGTGTACCTGATCTACAAAATATACTCTACTGTTTTATGAGAAAGAACTGAGAAGCAATCTAGTAGACCTGTCAGTTTCAGCAGAGTTAGGGTGTACAGATAAAGGAAACTATTTCCCATTTTCAGATAGGGGGTAGAAGATGAAGCTGAGCCAAATGTCACCATGAGAAAAGAGGATCTACAAGGAGAGAACCACTTTTGGAAGAGACACTAAAAGATTACTCCTTGTCATATTTTATGTCCTGGAACAGGGAACAAAAAAGTTGGCAGGGATAACATTGTTGTAAGAACCAGTCTGGGTTNCCACTGACCATTTTGACTTGTTTACTTTCTAGAAGAAAAGGTACTGCCTCCCTAAAGACCAGCAATGGAATTTCCCAAAGAGAAAAGTGAAGGCGATGATTAATGGCTTTTCAATATGCACATACAAAAACATTAGGTCCCTTCCTTTTCTCATGATGAAACTTTATTTTCTGCTGTACACTCAAGTATTTGAATCAACAATTTACAATCTTATTCTTTAAAAATTCTATCCTGATGATTGTCACAGTAGGGTAGCACAACCTCTTCACTATCCAGAGTTGACACAGGTTTGGCTATTGATTTTTAATGGCCTGCAATAATGATTTGTTGACTGCTTTGACATTGGTATGCCTTTGGTGTCTGATTCTTACCTGTGTGTACCTGATCTACAAAATATACTCTACTGTTTTATGAGAAAGAACTGAGAAGCAATCTAGTAGACCTGTCAGTTTCAGCAGAGTTAGGGTGTACAGATAAAGGAAACTATTTCCCATTTTCAGATAGGGGGTAGAAGATGAAGCTGAGCCAAATGTCACCATGAGAAAAGAGGATCTACAAGGAGAGAACCACTTTTGGAAGAGACACTAAAAGATTACTCCTTGTCATATTTTATGTCCTGGAACAGGGAACAAAAAAGTTGGCAGGGATAACATTGTTGTAAGAACCAGTCTGGGTTTTAGAAACTTATTTGCTCTTAATTTCATTATTCATTTGCATTATTCTTTTGCCATCTCACTGGGAAGGTAAAGTGAGATGAAAAAAGCATGAACTCTCCAAGGAAATGTTTGTGTTTCCAGCTGTTTTCCTATTCTAATTCAAGTTATTCATTAGGGACCTAAAACTTGCCAGGCAAGTCAGGTGTTAAGAGTAACTTTCAAGTGAATCTCACATTTGAATACAAGGAAAATCAAATTCCGTTGCAACAAAATCTCTGTAAATTCATCAAATATTAACTGGCACTAATTTAGGAGCATAAGAACTCTCCAAACACAACTTACCACATCACTTTATTCCAACAACATTTACTATTAATAAACCTAAGTACAGCAACAACAACTAAACCAAGATCTCATTACCTGTTATAATGAGAAATAATCTATTATAATTATTTTAGCCTTTTAGTTGTTACAATGTTTATTATTTTCATTATTGAACTCTAATTAGGTTACATGATGTTATGTAGAAAAAATTTTTAATTTTACTGTGTTCTAAGTTTTCTCAAATATATACAGCCTGTGAATATTTAAGAATAAGTGATTATCAATTAATAGCTTCTCCATCTGCATAGATGACTGTCAACTAACAATGATTGGCTTGATCTTGATTTGGACAAGAGATCTCTTTCCTTTTCTAAGTGTCATGCCTTGCATTATCTTAAAGAATTAAGAACAATTCTGTTCTTCAGTGATCATGATAGTGAAAATACTCACTATTAAATATTTTGTCATAAACAGCAACAACTTGATAAGTTTCACATTTTCCTATATAGGTGAAACTAAAGTATATAGCAAAATAAAAAGTAACTGATGTGAAGGATAAAGCCTACTCATGGATACTATTGGCACTACTACATATTTTAACTAGAATATGAAAATAGTGCTAATGGGTTTGCATTCCCTTTTGCACTTGGATTTTGGTCCTTCTAAACACACTGTTTTTCCAAAATAAAAGTGGGTTAAAGACTTACATCATCAGTGGCATTATTCTATTTTGAACAAGTTCATGGTTTTAACTTAGTCACTGAGAAGAATTTGCCACCAGAAAAAAGCACTATTTTGTTATTGTTGTTGCTGTTGATGATTTCACTTAGTGGTTCAAAAATAATGTCTGAATATGAGATTATTAAATAAAGCTTGGTTATACAAAATTTAGTTTATATGATAATGAAATTTGGTTAAAAAAATAGTGAAAATTTAAAGTTACTGCAAAAGAACTGAAGATTTAAGTAGAAATACCTAGAAGAGAGGTTTCTGAAAAATATGTCTCAAGGGGAGAGGAGCCACCATATTCAGATGATACATATTTTCTGATGACTGATTATTCAACTTGAGATGAAGTTGGAGAAACATGCATGACCTCTTTAAAATGGTATACAGAGTTGGTCTTGCATAATAAGGCATGTAAGAGTCTGGGCCAGTCAAAATTCTAGGGCACCTATGTAATTTAATGTTCTTAATAAATGTGCATGGCTACAAAAGTGGCCTTTTTTCCAAATTAAGGGCTCTGGCCAGAGACTCACAAGGCAAGTGCCCTGTTTCTTTTCAGGATGCCTGGTTATTCTGACCTTATTTGATCTGGTATATTTTAGGGGGGGAAAAAAGGGCTACTTGTAATAAAAAAAAAAAACAAAACACCCTCATACTATACTGTCTTATATTGCACTAGAAATCCCTGACTAAAATGTGAACCCCACACACTTGCTGTGGTCCGTATCACAGGCATTCTCCAAAGGACCCAGCTTATATATCATAGTTTCTACTGCCCAGCAAACTGAATTTGCTTTAATTTCATTAAACTCATACGGAAATTACAAGAGGATTTGGAATAAACCTTTTACAGGCATGAAAATGAAGTTGAAGAATCTTTGTCCAGTTTCACACCAGGAACATGTAGCATGAACCAAATAATCATTCTTTTAACCCATATATTTCATATTTGGTTTTGCTTGAATTATCCTGATATTACTTCAGTTCTTTATTACCCTTTACAAGGTACAACTTATCTTTATCTTCTTCTAATTGTACCAAACAATTCTGATTTGGTGACAAAAGAATAAGGCAGGAGGCTCTTGTTATCATTAACTCAACTTCAAAGCATAATGCTTCAAAGCACACTTTTAGAAGACCAATGTAGAAATGGGTAGGAACCTGTAAAGAAGCCTTACTGGTAATGTATTTGTTTCCCAGGTAGGAGGTATCTCTGACTATTCCACAAATATAGAAAAAAAGGGGGATTCCATTATGTTATGTTTGTAAACAATGCCAACTTACCAAGGCAGGTCCCTTCTTGAGACAGCTTTCTACAAAGAATACTATTTAGTGGATTATTGGTTCAATCTGACTATGATGTCATTATTTCCAAGATCTTGAAAGAGACTATTTTGTTTGGGGCAGCTGTAGACTCTATTTCAAGAATTGTACAAAAGCACCTTTATTCTCTAGGAACCCAATTAAAAAAATGTTTATCTTTACAGTTTAACTGCTGTCAATCCCTTCTGCAACAGAACAAGAACTTACAAGTGAGTGGCACATTGGATCTAGCCACAGGCCATTCATTTAACTTTTAGAACTTGGCTCTTACCATTGTGAAGAAACAGCTAACTTTAATGGACAACTAGCAACAAAACTGTTATATCTGTTCACAAATCGATTTCATACTTGAATACTAGGTTTTTCAGAGAGAATTTAAATGGCTTCTGTTAATTGTATATATTTATAATCCAGCCCCTGGGACTTAATGCAATTCACCAGTGCTTAGTAATTACAATAGAAATTCATCAGTAAAAAGAAGTGAGCCTCTTGTCTCATGATAACCAAGGAGCCTAAACATCCCTTTTTCAGAGTCCTGAGAAAGATTACTCTTCTTTTCCCTTCACTCATCTTCCTTTTACTCTCTCTCTTCTCCC